GTAATGTTTATTGATAATCTGCCAAATTTCGTTAACATTCGCTTACTAATTTAAAAGTTATAGCATGAAAACTATAAAAGACACAAAATGGTTACGAGGTCAGTCCAAGGGATCGAGCCCGTGCTGAAAGAGTTAATCATATTGTACTCAGAATAATGTATTTTTTTTATTAAAGTAATAAACGAAATAAACATCATGCATGGTGTTTTAAAACATCTACAAAGATATGTAAACACACATTTTCTATAGGCTACATTAAGAGTTTCCTGCAGTAAACCAATTTCAATGGTATATTTTAAGAAAATATAACATCAATACTAATAAAATACCAAAGGTATTTTATTTAAAAAAAAAAGAATGTATAGCTATAGGCAGTTTAAATCTGGATAATTGCAATTTGCATAAAGTAATATTGAGACAAGTCATTGAAACTTGGAAACCAATCTCAAACTCTTATATTCCAAGTAAGTCACATATGGATGTACACGCGGTAACCATCACAAAAACAATGACTTTGCCTTAATTCTAGCCCTATCTTATGTGTCTGTTATATCTAAACTAACACTTATAACACATCACCCCATTACTGTCTGCTGTGGCTTGATATAACACAATCTGTCCTGTGAACGACACACTTTATAGTTTTTTTGTTTTTTTTCGTGGTACAAATGGTGGTTAAAATCGAAAATTATTCGAAAAATTCTTTTTACAGAAAATGGTGCCTTCATTTTTACATATGAAACCATGAAAACTGCAGTTAGTTTTATAAACTTAGAAATGAAAAACTTAACTTAAAAAAAAAAAACACTCGTACCTTTGACTTTGTCTCGTGTTCGTCCCACCACTGTTCGAAACTTTTAAAGCCTGAACTTTCCACAGTCTTTTTACACAGGTCCTTCTTCATTATCTGCTTCAGCTCTTGGACCACAGCTTCAAGCACTCCCTGGACCGTAGGAGCATTAGGGTCTTCAGGAGGACAAGGACGTGGAGGAAGCTGATGTTGAAAAGGTGCAGGGGGTGGATAAGGAGGCATATGACCTGCATAATTTCCTTGCATTGGAGGTCTGTAACATCTATTACCTGGGAAATGGTGTGGGGGTACATTTGGGGGATACGGTGGCATGGCATTTGGCATCATTTGAGGCCTTATGTTGGGTCTTGGGCCAGGGTACGAGTTTCTTACAATATAACCAGGCTGACCTGGTCCCAGCCCAGCTTCTGGCTCCCCATAATGTGGTGGTCTGGGAAAGTTTGGCCTGTGATTAGACCCATACATCCCTGAACCCATGCCAGGCCTCCAGATCCCCATACGGGCCATCATCTGTACATGTTCACTAGGGTACATAGGATGATTGGGATATGATTCAGGTGGAGGTCCTCGAGGCATACAGGGGTGAGGCAAAGCAGAGGTTGCTGGCATTTGGCTTCCATTGTACATGGCAAAAGGACCAGCTCCAACTGGTGCTTGTGGGAAACCCATGCCAGAGTTTGATGGTGCATTGTCAGGAGGAAGGTGAGGGTTTACTTCCAACTTTTCTCCCCCACTACTAAGGGATGACAAAGACATTCTGTCATCATCATCCTCCTCTTCCTCCACCTTATTATCTTGATTATCGTTATCTGATGGAGATGGTGGTTCAGGCCTTTCATCTCTCACGGGTGTAGAATCTAGGTCTTCCCCTATTCCTCCATTAGTTTCTTGCTCATCTGAAGCTTTACTGTCCTGGTTGTATGCACAAGTTCTGGGGTCTTTCATAAAGGGATCAACATTAGATAATGTCAGATTTCTGAGTGCACTCGAAGGCTCAAGGATGACACTTTCTGGCAAGAAACTGGTATCTCCTACAAAATAAGAGGTACTCTTATCACTTTCAATGTCCTTGGTAATTTGGGCCCATTTATAATACAGTGCCGATGAAAGGAAAGGGGATGGGGGTGTTGAAAGAACTTCAAAATTATCATCATCATCAGGTGGAGGAGGCGGCTTTTCATCATTTTCAGGAAGTGGAGGAAGAGGAGAATAATCGGGAGGCACTGGTGCATCATTACTGACAGAACTGGGTAAAGGGGGCTTTTCATTACAAAGAGAAATGGGTAACGATGTTTTTTTCTCCATCAATTGGGAACTAATAGTTTTAGAAGTAGATAAATCTTTCTGTTCAGATTCCAAAGGTGGGCTACCTAGTCCACCTAACGCTAAGAATCCAGGTGTCTTCCCTTCAGTTTGCTTCAACAGAAGTTCAATTCGAGAGTCTAGACTCTCTCGTGCAGGACTTTGTTTGGGCGGTAATGCTTGGGGAGTGTTTGGTGGGGTCACTTGACTATTTTTTCTGGTTTGAAAATGTAGTGAAGAAATACCCCATTCAGCACCAGGATGACCAAAAGTGTTTCTCCCCCAAGATGAAGGCTTCAGCATGTGGGTAGGGTTGACTTCCCACTGCGGTGGCACAAGTTGTCTTATTCCATGAGGAATAAATGAAGAGGCAGGGGGAGGAGCCACGAGATTACCATGTTGTAACATGTGTCCACTCTCGGAACTCAGAGGAGTGGAGTGTTCCGATGGATAACCACTACAGTCTGACTGAACAGAGTAACATCTATCCGATGTCCCCCCACTGTAAAATCCACTCTCAGATCCGTAGCTACGTTCTGACGAATGAGGGGTTAGGTGATCCCCACCCATTCCAGAAAAAGTTGCCAGAGTTTTTGTACGTCCACCTCTTCCTTGCAAACCATGTTCGCTAGATGAGCGTTGTTCATTGTTCCTACATCTAGGGTCGAAACTTGGAGGTTGTCTTCTTTTCTCCGGTTCTATTTGAAAGATTGTTCTTGGACAACCCGATATCAGTTCTTGATACATACGAAGACATTCTTTGGCTAATGAAAATAAAAAAATTAATAAGTATTTGCTAGTCGTTAAATGGAATTATAGTTAACTGTAGGAATAGAAACATTCATGTGATTTAAACTACAAATGTCATTTCAACTCCAGACTGGCAAACCCTCAACATGCACCCATTATTCTAGTCAAATTTGTCATTATTTAAAGGTATAATAATTTAGATAACTGTTAACAGTTTGTAATTCAAACAGGAGGAGGACAGAATCTAATCCTTTATATATATATGAATAGATGCAATGACTAATATATATATAAAACAACCAACTTACATTAAAAATTAATATGAAAAGTTTGATTAATTTGTAAGTATCAAAATTAACCTTATAAAAACTGATCACATCAAAATCTGATGTGGTGTTAATTTTTTTACAAAAAAAAGTAAACAAAAACAGAAGTTCATTTAGCCTTTTTTGTTTGTTTTTCATAATTTTCACACAAAGCTAATGATGAGCTATCTGTATATAGCTATCCTTAATTTTAAACAAACAGACTAGAGAGAAGGCAGCTGGTGCACAGTACCCACCACCACCACCTGTTAGGTTACTATTATTGGACCAAAAAGTGAGACTTGATGGTCACCTAAATAACACATTCATGGCCTGAAAGTGTGGAGTGCATTAGGAAACAAATCACAAAACTTCAAGATCAAAGTTTGAGAATAATGACAACTGGACTGTAAATGGGAAAGTAATAAACTGAGGATATGGTACTACATGAAACTGAATGTTACCTTAGAACACAAGAAACTGAATATTAATGTACAAAACATGTAACTGAACATTACTGTAGAAGACAAGTAGCTGAATGTTACTGTAGAAGACAAGTAACTGAATGTTACTTTAGAAGACAAGTAACTGAATGTTACTGTACAAAACATGTAACTGAATGTTACTGTAGAAGATCTGTAACTGAACATTACTGTACAAAACATGTAACTGAACATTACTGGAGAAGATCTGTAACTGAATGTTACTGTAGAAGACAAGTAACTGAATGTTACTGTAGAAGACATGTAGCTGAACATTACTGTAGAAGACAAGTAACTGAATGTTACTGTAGAAGACAAGTAACTGAATATTAATGTACAAAACATGTAACTGAATGTTACTGTACAAAACATGTAACTGAACGTTACTGTAGAAGACAAGTAACTGAATGTTACTGTAGAAGACAAGTAACTGAATGTTACTGTAGAAGATCTGTAACTGAATGTTACTGTACAAAACATGTAACTGAACGTTACTGTAGAAGACAAGTAACTGAATGTTACTGTAGAAGATCTGTAACTGAACGTTACTGTACAAGACATGTAACTGAACGTTACTGTAGAAGACAAGTAACTGAACGTTACTGTACAAAACATGTAACTGAATGTTACTGTAGTAGACAAGTAACTGAATGTTACTGTACAAAACATGTAACTGAACATTACTGTACAAAACATGTAACTGAACATTACTATAGAAGACAAGTAACTGAATGTTACTGTAGAAGATCTGTAACTGAACGTTACTGTACAAAACATGTAACTGAACATTACTGTAGAAGACAAGTAACTGAATGTTACTGTAGAAGATCTGTAACTGAATGTTACTGTACAAAACATGTAACTGTAGACTATCTGTAACTGAATGTTACTGTACAAAACATGTAACTGTAGACTATCTGTAACTGAACGTTACTGTACAAAACATGTAACTGAACGTAACTGTAGAAGAGAAGTAACTGACATTGCTTAAAGTATATTGACAATAAAATATTCTGAAGGTTTTAATAGGTTAAAAAACGTTATCAGAAACACTTCGCCATACTGGTAGTTCGTTGTTCTCAACACAAGTTTATCAAGGAACAATTAGCCCTCTCACTAATGGGTCGATGCATTCCATCAAACTTGTGACCTCAAAGTAACAATAAGTTTCTACACTAAACTCTTTAACTGTTAAGTGTATCTTCATGAAATATGGCAAGCTTTCAGGAAACATTACAAGTCGTTTGTACAGCAACAAATCTGATTTTTAAAATAAGTATTTTTACTAAAGATTTGTCCGTGATTATATATGGAGTCAAAGTATTGACAGCTCCGAATGCAAAGTGATTTTCATGTTAATATTAAAAATACTTTTCTTCATCTGAAAATTTTCAAATGCTATTTGTGTAACCTCTAAAACCTCCTAAAAAAACGTTTTAGTTTTGCTCTTATTTTCTATACCCTAACTCTACATGGACTCGGTCAATTTAACCAAGCTCATAACCAACATAAAAAAAATAAATTACTCTCTTTTTTCCTTTCCAGAATGTTTGCAAATTGTAAACGAAAATTACATTTGTTTATCCTAAATAGCTTAAGGCTTGTAACAGTTTACATCTGTTTCTACTTAATTTTATTGCCCTTTGAACTAATAACCCCACCACATAAGTTATAAATCACTCAGCAACGCGTAGCTCAAGTTAACATATCGAACAACATAAAACATGAGATGTTCTCAAGCATACCTCATGAAAAATTATCATTATTTTTCATCATCTAATCTAACATAACAAGTTTCTACTTTTTATATTTTAGTTACTTTTAAAATAATAAATAAAGAATATACAAGGAAAGCAAGAAATATTGTACTTATCTGGGTCTTCTGTTTTTTTTTTTTGCTGTTAATGAAATTTAAGCCTAATCTTTTTATACTAGTACACTAAATTTTTATTAATGCACTTAAGAACACAAAAGAATAACACGCAAAAAGCAACCAATGTCCCACAACTAACATAATTTATCTGCCTTTCTAATTGTGGCTTAAGAAACTTTAAAAATTAGCTAAGTTGGTCAATCTTAATGTTGCAAGGGAAACTTTCCAACTGGAGATTAAGAATTATTATTAGTTTGGACAAAAATAGTAAATATTGAAAGGTTCTACTGAGTACATAATTTTTTTTTATCTAAGAAACACTAGATCTAATGAAACCAATAACAAAGTTAACTGAAACTTGAAAAAACAAAACAAATATTGAACTACGACTTACAGAAAGGATCAAAAAACACTCCCAAGATGTTTCCCATCACCGAAGATTTGTTCAACCTTTCAACACAATTTCTTGCTGCTTTCACTGAAGTAAATGTTACTCTAGCAAGCCCGAGGTGTTTCTGGGTCGCAGGGTGATAATAAACGTACGATTCCTCCACACTACCACATTTCTTCAACAGATCATCCAAAAAGTTTTTGTTTATATTGTCATTTAAGTTTGTTATGGTGACTTCCACGGGTGGTGGGACACCTACATAGTTATTATCAATCTGAAAATAAATAGAAAAGTCTTAGTACAGCAAGGTACAGGATAATTCTGAAAATATTAAACAGGAAAATTTACGTTTACATGTTTATATCTGTTAAACAGCAAATGGAATCTGTTGTTCATTAAAATACATACAAGGTGATGCTCACATGATGTGAAGAATCCCATTTTCTAAAACAACTCGGATTAGGTGTTAAAATTAACTGAAATCAGAGTATCAATAGTGTTTCTAATGCTCACATGATGTGAAGAATCCTATTTTCTAAAACAACTCGGACTATGTGTTAAAATTAACTAAAATCAGAGTATCAATAGTGTTTCTAATGCTCACATGATGTGAAGAATCCCATTTTCTAAAACAACTTGGACTAGGTGTTAAAATTAACTGAAATCAGAGCATCAATAGTGTTTTTAATGCTCACATGATGTGAAGAATCCCATTTTCTAAAACAACT